GTTTCTGAAAGACTGGAAAACAGCTAATTTTGCAGGTGCTTCGGCATCAGTGGTAGCAATGAATGTGACGTTCATACCGGGGGGGGGGGGAGGTTTGATTGCAGATGTAATGGGTAATACCCTTATGAAATTCACAGCGAAAATCTTGAAACAGGACATTTAAATTCACTGCTCGGAGTGGGGTGGGGAGCGGGATCGGAAACGACGCTTGTGGTTTTCAAACGCGTTTTAACTTGGGAAAGCCGGGCGGAGAAAGGAAAGGTCATAGTCTGTTTAATTTCCACCCCCAACCCTGGTCTTCCAGCATTAGCTCGCTGGGCCTCAGCTGTTGTACACACACAGCGAAGGGGGAGGGGAGGGCGGAGGCGCGGAGGAGGGGCCGACTGGGAGGAATCTGGGCGCCCTGCCGCGCATGCGCTTTTCCCGAGCAACAAGTGGGCTCCACAGAGGAAGTGTAAAGGGGAGGGGGGAGAACTGGTGCAGAGCATGGCGGTGACGTCAGCGCTCCGCCTGGGCGGCATCCCGCGCGGCCGAGCCCGGGACAGCGCGAGCCGCAGCGCGAGCGGGAGCGCCGAGCCGCGCCTCCGGAACGTAGAGTAACAATCACAACCCCACATTCCGGGCGAGTGCGAGCGGGAAGGGATGCGACCCGGGTCGAGGCGCCGCGCGAGCGCCCTACAGCCAACGTGAGCGCCGCCAGCCGCGGGGGCCCGGGCGCCCGCCAGGCCTGGGGGCGGCGGGAACCTGCGTGCGTGCGCTCCTCTCCTCTGCTCTCGTGCGTCCTGGAAGCAGTGGCCGCGGCGGCTCCCTCCGGCCGTGCTAACCCAGCTAACGCCAGCGGAACGGCCGACGCTGAGAGGGGAGAAGCTCCTCTCTCGGCTGCCAACCCCTCCCCCGGTCCTCCGGGGAAGCAGCGACTTCAGCAAGATTGGACTCGGGCACCGGGTGGCACTGAACCCTCTACCCTTCGTCCCAGAGAGCCTGGCGGGGAGAGGACGCAGGTCGTAGGGGGTCCCCCCCAGGGGAGAGGAAGAGACAACCCCTTTCGAGCTTCCAGGCACCAGCCACTCCGGGGAGGGGGCCAAGAACCAACGGCGGTCAGCACCCGGCACCCTCGCCCCCTCCCCCCGGGCCCGGAGCTTCCAGCCCGGGTCTGCGACACCAGGAAGAAGGCGCCTGAGATCCCCTCCCGACGAAACAGCCGCAGTAGGAGGTGGGGGCGAGGAGCGGGCTGAACTCGTCCGCTGCCCGGGCGGTGGAGCCCCCGCAGCGAGGCGCTGCGCGGGCGGTGGAGACTCGCGCTTCCTCCAGCCCCTGGGGCAGAACTTTCTCGCCCCCCCTCCTTCCCCCGCAGCCGTACTCCCTCCCCAGCCGGCCAGCCCTCCGGGAGGAAAAAGCGCCGCGGAGACAGCCGGGGCGGGGGCCTACCTTACCGAGGGCCGGCATCATGTCGGCGGCGCAGGTGTCCTCGTCCCGGAGACAATCTTGCTACCTGTGCGACCTGCCCCGCATGCCCTGGGCCATGATCTGGGACTTCTCGGAACCCGTATGCCGCGGTTGCGTCAACTACGAGGGCGCGGATCGCATCGAGTTTGTGATCGAGACCGCGCGTCAGCTGAAGCGGGCGCACGGCTGCTTCCAGGACGGCCGCTCCCCCGGGCCGCCGCCGCCCGTCGGGGTCAAGACGGTGGCCCTGTCGGCTAAGGAGGCGGCGGCGGCGGCGGCGGCAGCGGCGGCCGCCGCACAGCAGCAGCAACAACAGCAACAACAGCTCAACCACGTCGATGGTTCCACCAAGCCTGCGGTGCTGGCGGCCCCGTCCGGCCTGGAGCGCTATGGTCTGAGCGCAGCCGCTGCTGCCGCCGCCGCCGCCGCCGCCGCGGTGGAACAGCGCAGCCGCTTCGAATATCCTCCACCACCGGTGAGCCTGGGAAGCAGCAGCCACTCCGCGCGGCTGCCCAACGGTCTGGGGGGCCCCAACGGCTTCCCCAAGCCCACACCGGAGGAGGGACCCCCGGAGCTGAACCGCCAGAGCCCCAACTCGTCTTCAGCGGCGGCGTCGGTGGCGTCTCGGCGCGGGACGCATGGTGGACTAGTGACAGGGCTGCCCAACCCGGGGGGTGGCGGAGGCCCCCAGCTTACCGTGCCCCCTAACCTGCTGCCGCAGACGCTGCTTAACGGCCCGGCCAGCGCCCCCGTGCTGCCCCCACCGCCGCCTCATGGTCTGGGCAGCCGTGGGCCCCCGACGCCCGCGCCCCCCGGGGCCCCCGGGGGCCCAGCTTGTCTCGGGGGCGGCCCAGGCGTATCGGCCGCGTCGTCCTCCGCGTCATCTTCGACCTCGTCGTCGGTGGCCGAGGTGGGCGGGGGTGCTGGTGGCAAAAGGCCCGGCTCCGTGTCGAGCACTGACCAGGAGCGCGAGCTGAAGGAGAAGCAGCGTAACGCCGAGGCCCTGGCTGAGCTGAGTGAGAGCCTACGCAACCGCGCGGAGGAGTGGGCCAACAAGCCCAAGATGGTCCGCGACACGCTGCTCACGCTGGCCGGCTGCACGCCTTACGAGGTGCGTTTTAAGAAGGACCACTCGCTGCTGGGCCGCGTCTTCGCCTTCGACGCCGTCTCCAAGCCTGGTATGGACTACGAGTTGAAGCTGTTTATTGAGTACCCCACGGGCTCGGGCAATGTGTATTCCAGCGCATCTGGTGTGGCCAAGCAGATGTACCAGGACTGTATGAAGGACTTCGGTCGGGGTCTCTCCTCCGGCTTCAAGTATCTGGAGTATGAGAAGAAACACGGCTCCGGGGACTGGCGCCTACTTGGAGACCTGCTGCCCGAGGCCGTGCGCTTCTTCAAGGAGGGCGTGCCCGGCGCCGACATGCTGCCCCAGCCCTACCTGGACGCCAGCTGCCCCATGCTGCCCACGGCTCTGGTGAGTCTAAGCCGCGCCCCTAGCGCGCCCCCGGGGACCGGGGCCCTGCCGCCCGCCGCCCCCTCGGGCCGGGGCGCAGCTGCCAGCCTGCGCAAGAGGAAGGCGTCCCCCGAGCCCCCGGACTCCGCCGAGGGCGCGCTGAAGCTGGGCGAGGAGCAGCAGAGGCAGCAGTGGATGGCGAACCAGAGCGAGGCACTAAAGCTCACCATGTCGGCCGGGGGCTTTGCGGCGCCGGGGCATGCGGCAGGGGGTCCGCCTCCGCCGCCCCCACCCCTGGGACCCCATTCCAACCGGACCACCCCGCCCGAGTCAGCCCCTCAGAACGGCCCGTCGCCCATGGCCGCCCTCATGTCGGTGGCAGACACACTGGGCACGGCGCACTCGCCTAAGGATGGCAGTTCTGTGCACTCCACCACTGCGTCCGCACGGCGCAACAGCAGCAGCCCAGTGTCGCCGGCCTCCGTACCCGGGCAGCGCCGCTTGGCATCACGGAACGGGGACCTGAATTTACAGGTGGCGCCCCCGCCGCCTAGCACCCACCCGGGCATGGACCAAGTGCACCCCCAAAACATTCCGGATTCCCCTATGGCCAACAGCGGGCCCCTCTGCTGTACCATTTGCCACGAACGTTTGGAGGACACGCATTTCGTTCAGTGCCCCTCTGTTCCCAGCCACAAATTCTGCTTCCCTTGCTCTAGAGAGAGTATCAAGGCCCAGGGGGCGACCGGCGAGGTGTACTGCCCCAGCGGAGAGAAATGCCCCCTGGTTGGGTCGAATGTACCTTGGGCCTTCATGCAGGGCGAAATCGCGACGATCTTAGCTGGGGATGTTAAAGTGAAAAAGGAGAGAGACCCTTGAACCACAAGACAGCCACTTCCTTAGCCCCAGACCAGCTCCTCTCCCGTCCAGAGGGCCCCTCCCCCACCCACATCGACCCTCTCTTCCCTCACTCCCAAGATGTAGAATTGTGAATATAACAAACTGCAAAAAGTTAGTCTTATGTATAGACATTATTTTCGTCGTATGTTTCTATATTTTGAAACAAAGGTATGTAACTTCTTCATTTGAAGGATAAGCTGGTTTGTGTTAAGCAGTATAATATTGGTTCGGTCATTTGCATCATATTCGTTAGCATTTATTGGTGGCAGAGTGTTTGCCTAGGTACAGAATTAATAGCCTTTAGCAACGACTGCTGCTGGTGTGTATTTTTGTAATTGTTATGCACTCACTGAAAGGAAGAAAAACACAAAAGAAAATGACTTTTTTTTTGCCAAGGCCAGTGTTGCTGCCTAAAAAAAAAAAATGATGCTATAAGATGGTGAGAGCTTCATTTCTGAACAGCCCCAAGTGTTGAAGTCTTCACTTTATTTTGTTTTGTTTTTGTTTCCTTTGCAAAATGGTAAGGGGGGTGTTGGGGGGGTGGGTGTTTTTTGTTGCAAGTTTGTGAGGGAAAATGTTTTGGTTTGTTTCTACTGACCTGAATGTGTTGGATCTTCACGTGTTGTTTTGTTTTTGCTTTATTGATGCACGGATGCTTTTGAACAGTAGAGCGAAATGCTAGACATGGAGAATCTGCTCTGTTTGTCCTTTATACATTTCTGTAGTTAACAGAACACTGTAATGTGCCTTGGAGCTTAGTAACTTGTAATAAATTCAATTGATATTAATTCTGCCCCGAGTCAGCAAATGTGTTTTTCTGGGGCTAAGACCACACAGCTCCAACATGGGGGACACCCTCCCTACTTCCACCACAGAACACAAATGCTGGTGCCTTTGAAAGCCCTCAGAGGTGGCATCTGTAGAAGGCCCTGTGCTGGCTGACTGCCCCTCCCCTTCAGTACCAGACTATTTACACTCACCTCTCTGGGGCAGGACAGTTGCTGACTAAGCGATTTCTGTTTACTCTTCAGCATCTCTGTTTTCCCCTGACGCGCACCCCAGCTGCAAATAGCATCGTCAGAAATGCTTTTTTGGTGCCTTTCCCTGTGGCCCTGAGTATATGCTGATACCCAGTGCAGCTGTGACTTAATGCAAGTGGGGTGGGGGAAACAGAACAAAACCGGGGTGCTTTGCCTCCTAGATGTGGCAAAAATCACTGTTATTGCACATTTAAAGCAAACATGTCACAGAGCTGGGAGCCAGCAGTGGAGGCAGGAGGGGTGTGGGAAGTGGGAAACAAATCCATGTTCTCAGGACTGAGTTCCCAGCAGCTTCCAGTTCATGCATCGGAGGAGAAGTTTCACCTCATTCATGACGTTTTTTTCTTTCCCTTCCTTTTTGATAATCATTTCAAAAGGCAGGACACTTAGCTGGTTGTGGAGAGTGGGGAAGAGAGAGTCCCAAACCGTGGAGGAACAATCGCTTATGACACCAAATAGAACCCGTCCCCACTGGTGAAGAAATGCGATTATTCATCTAGTTGACTTTTTGGTGGCATTTGTGAGGTACAGAGGGATGGGGATGGGACTGGAATGTCCTTTAGGGCTCTGGAGCCCTCCCAGAGCTCTGAGGGAAGGCAAACAAACCTGGTTTGAACCTTGTACTTTCCTGGGAGGCAAATGGAAGGGGAGTAGGAAATGGGGAGGGAGGAAGCAAAACACAACCCCAGATCCTATCAGAAATCCATTCCTGGCCACACCCCATTCCTGGTGGAGGCAAACTGGGCCAGGACTGTCCGCACAAGGCCAGAGGAATAGCGAATAAGGGAGCAGGTGAGTTTGGGGAAAAACAAGTCACTGGTTAGCCCAGAACACCGAGGTGGAGGTTGGGTTGGTGTTCAGACTTGCTGTTAACAACATGCTTTCAGTTTCTGTTCCTGCTTTGCCGCCACCATCACTGAAGTAGTGGAAACCATGACTCTGTGTTTGTGTGCGTGTGCGTGCGTGTGTGTGTGTGTGTGTGTGTGTTTGGAGGTGTGAATAAATGGCAGTTGGCGTATCTGCTGCAGCCTCTTAATCCTGGTACCCGGGAGGTACCTGTCTCACCTCATCAAGAATCTTCCCACATATAAATAGATGTGCGTGTCAGCTTCCTGCAAATGTGTCCTTGCATTTTCATCTGCTGCCAAGTGTTGTATTGGTGCTTATGAGTCACGGAAGCTATTTTCATCCTCAGGGGTAATTAACTTGGGGGTGACAATGCACAGCAGACTGTAGGAAGAGTTAATCCTAAAGCCTATTCTCGCCTGGCCAGCAATCACACATTTCACTTAAGGGTCTGGGTTGGCTTTTCTCATCAGCTCATTAATAAAAACCAAGCGTGTTTCGCCTGGAAGATCCTCTGAGGTGCCCCCAACCCCCACGCCCACCGCACACACCCATGAAATGGGTGAAGCTCAGCAGCCTGAGAATACAGGGATAGAGCGTCACGGGTGTAACTTAAACCACCAGTGAATGAAGGCATGGCGGGTGCAGCCACAGCATTGAGCTGCACACGCCGACTTGGACGTGTGGATGACCGGTCCAGGTGCGAACCCGCTGAGTACCGTCCGGTGGAGCCAAGTGGGAGTTGGCCCCGTCACCTGCCTCTGCGTGCGCATCCGCTCCTGCTGGCCTTCCGCTGCCTCTTCATCGCTCTTTTATTACTTTCAGGAACTTTTAGGATTATGGGATCCTCGATTTAGTGCACATAGGTAGGAAAGGGGCCTGTCATGAAGAGCTGAGAACTGTAGTTTGCTCCCTCTTGTTGCTGGGTGCAGGAGAGGCAGAGCTGTAATGATGAAGCATCCAGCACAGGCGGCCAGTTAGGTTTCACTAAGGAAACCTGCCTCGATGAGACCTGGGGGAAAGGAAGGAGGGAGGGGGTAAGAGGGAGAGCACGGGCTGAGTGGAAGTGAATTATAATGGTGCAGTTAATTAAAGTTTACCAGTACCAGGAGCCTTTGTTAAATGGCAGCTCCCCCTTCTTTGTTTTTGGAACTGTGTGACCTTTCTCTTTGCGCTGACCCATTCCGCTGCTAGTTTGGTTGCCTTAACCAGTCTTGCTTTGATCCCTCAGCTAGATTTCCCCTACCCTGACACTTTCCACATTGCACACCCAGGAAGCAATTTCCTCTCCAGTACAGGAAGATTCTTGTGGGTTTCAGAGATTCAGATGGAGATCTCTGATGAGCTAGTCTTCCTTCATCTGCAGTTCACCCTGGATCTCTCCACCTCTATTTCCTCCTTCTCATTCTCTTCCCACTCCGAGCCAAAGTGGCCAACATTGAAAAATCCATATTGCTTTTATTTATAGGCATCGTTTGTGCAGCTAACCTAAGCCTGATGCTTCTTTGAGTGGGCACAGGGGTGGGGCAAAGAGGACAATTCAACAGTCAACATTTTTTGACCTTGATCTCTGAAGGTTGCAAAATGGGAGATCCACCAGTGAGGACAGCTCACCATGTCAAGTCTAGCATTCACATCTGAACTCGCTCTGCTCACATGGGCGTGAACACATGTTTTTAAATGTGCTTTGACGGTTCATTTTCACATTCATCCAGCCCAGGCTATTGATGTAACGAGGACTGAAATTCACTTTTGTTTTCTCATACTTTGTCAAATCCAGGAAATTGGGACAGGGAATGACCCTTAAGGGCATCTGGTGAAATGCTTTTTAAACCTTTCTGGGGTCCTCTGACCTTAGAAAAATTTGGTGAAAATGATGGATACTTCCTCAGAAAGTACAGGTGCCCCCCACACACATGGACTTGCATACATTTTCTTTCCTTTTTAATTTTATGTACTTATATTGAATAGGTAATATATTCCTTTGGTTCAAAATTCAAAAGATGCAAGGGGAATACAGTACAACCGTAAGGTTTCCTTTCTACAAGTGGCCCCTCAGCCACCTACCTCCCTTCAGGGATGCAACCAGCGTTACCCAATTTTTAAAGGGGTTCATGCATATCTAAAATCCATCCATGGAACTTGAGGTTAGAACCTAGGTCTAGTTCATCCACCTAGTAAAAATGAGGGCCCCATGGCACAGAGAGGTGAAGGAACTTGCCTAAAGTCACACAGGGGCAGATCCCAGGCTAGATTCCTGTTAAGAACAACTCTAATGCACATTTAAAAAAATTAAGGACATTGAACTTACCTAGAGTTTTATATGAGAGCAGGTGCTGACGAAGTGGGCAAAAGGAGAGTGAGTACCTGGTGGGGTGGGGCTCAGTGTTTTTAGTAGCTCTTGGAGGACAGTGAACAAGCATTTGTCCCTTGGTCTCTTTTGCAGCCATACCTTTGGGGGAAGGGGATGTGGAGAGCAGTGTCTAGGTTTCTGACTGTAAATATCAGGTGGTCCTTAATTAGTGGAGTCCTTTCTTAACCTTTGAGCTGTGGGCCCTCACACGCCTCCCCCTTTGATGATTGGAAACTTCTGAAGGTTTAAAGACTGTCAGATAAGTAACCATTTGGACACAGAGGTCAGAGTTGGGGAGACCAGGACTCCTGCCACCTTCCCTTGAACTTGGGGCTTCTCTCTTCTCTCCCTGTCACCCACCTCTGCCTGGCCATCTAGGAGACAAGTGGCATGCCCGGTGCTGTGTGAGGTGCCGGGTGGATGCACACTTCAAGCCAGCCTACGAGGAAGGTGTGATGACCCTCGTTCTACAGATGTGCCAACTGTGCTCAGAGAGGTTAAATGCCCAAAGCCATCGTTGGTATTCCATTCAAGCCCAGGGCAGCCTAGAGCCAGGACTCCTATATTGCTCCACGCAGGGGGCCTCTAATTTCTGACCCACAGGGCCCAGGAAACCCAGGCTCAGAGCTTGAGCCTGTCCCTCAGCCCTCCCCATCTCCCAGAGTCTCCAAGTGAGGCTGGCCAGTGCCAGTGAGTGAGGCTGTCCCCGGGGGGCGGGGGGGGGCGCTGTTGGGAAGCCCCTGGGAGAGGGCATTTTCTAGGCTTGGTGTGCTCGGAACACACCATGGTGCTGTCCAAGCCATATTTCCAATCAGGGATTCTGGAGCAAGACTGTTCTGGAGTCTCCCTCAAGCTGCCTCCTACCCCTAAACTTAAGAATGAGCCACAAAAGCTTACCTCCTGTGGGTACCACATTGTGGACCCATGATTGGTGGGTCCGCACTTCAGGCTAGACTCGAGAGCAGTGTCGCAACCTCCCAACTGGTCTCTCGTGGGCTCCAGTCTCCACGCATTCCAGGCCAGGGCTCTGTAGCAGGCAATTCTTTTACACATCTGAACATGTCATCTCCTTGCTTAGAAACCTCCCTTGGCTCTCTGTTGCCTACAGGATAAAGTCCAAATTCCTCAGCATGGCAAGCAAAGCCTTCCACTATTTCTCCATCCCAGGGGTAGAGTATCTTAATTTTTAAAAAGGTATTACATATACATGGCAAAAAAGAAAATCAAACAGCATGAAAAGATACTCGGTGAAAAGTCAGTCAGTCTCCTTCCTTCCAGGTCTTCAGTTCCCCTCCGCTGAGGGAAGCACTGCTGGTAGTTATTTTGTGTATATTTTCAGCAGCATTAGATGCACAAAGAAGCTTAGATTTATAATATATATCTCCTGGGCGTAGATCTTAGAATAAGCCAGACAGGAAGGAAGGTCCAGGGCAAGGAACTAGACTTGGTCAGAGCCCCAGTCTGGGTCTGGGGTGTCCTCTACCTCGACAGCCAGGGATTAGCTATTACTTTTCTTTGGCTCCTGGACAAGGTGTGTGTGTGTGTGCCCTTGGCCCACGCCGGTGCACTTATACCTACCTACATCGCTGTGGTGCTAGCGTTGGGCTTCCTAAGCCAGCCCCATTGTGGCTGGGGGGTGTTCTCTGGAAAGGATGGGGATGGGGCAGTGGCCATGGACACCAGGTATTCCCTGCAGTGTCCAGCGCTTTCCCCTACTGCCACATTCTTCTCCCTTTCCCATCCCCCACAGCAGCTTGGTGAAGCTGGCAGAACTGCTTCCTCAGGTCTCTTAGGTGACAGACTGGGAAACTGTGGCTAAAAGAAAAGAGCGAGGGAGAAATGTTATTGAACGTAACCTCTGGACCCTCTGGGCTAGGCATGGTCATATACTGTTGTTCCTTTATTATGGCAAGGTTTGGAGGCTGCTCGTTGCCATTATTCTCCTTTGACAGGAAAATACCCATAGTAGGTACTGTCATTACTCCCATTTTACAGACAAGGCAACCAAGTCACAGAACAGTGAGTAACTTCCCCCCCCCCCCCCCCCAGCTTGGCCTCACTCCCTCTCTCACAGGGGAAGATCGTTCACACGCTCCCCAGGCCCACGCCCCAACACTTCACTCTCCACCAGTGCAAACCCTTCCAGGGAGGCCTGGGTTTTGTTGCAAGGAGGAGCCAGCATGTGAAATCCAGAGCCATGGGCAGTGGTTCAGAAACCACAGCTTGAGGAGGTCCAGCTGCCTCTGAGAACAGGTTTGGGTTGCTGAGGGTGCCGGGGGCAACGCTGGCGGCCAGCACCCGGGGACAGGCAGCTCTGGAATGCTGGGCCATGTGAACACGGAGGAATTAACTCTGAGCCCCTGGGTCTCCGCCCAGACGGTCACGTGACCACCTCCTACAAATCCCCACCCCCACCCCCGTTTGCCTGGAGCTGTAGGCAACTGATTCTTGACTCGGGAAGTTGCCCACAGGCCCACTCCAGTGGGGCAGGGGGACCCAGGGACTTGGAGAGGGAGGCTTCTGGAATTAGGATCATTTTAGGGGAGGGGGAGAGAACGGCGGCTGAGCTTCCCAGGGAGCAGGGGGGCCAGAGGAGGAGCTGCTGTGAGGTCCTCCATCTCACCTGGGCTTAAAATACTGACCAATCCATCTGCCCTGAGGTGCCTTCTCAGGCTCCAGGCTGCTTCCTGCCCCAGAAGGGCCTTCATGTCTCCTCGGTGACTGAGTACCACAACTGGGGCAGGGGGAGGTAGGATGCCTTAACCCGCTCCTACCGTCCTCAACCCACCCTTCCCCAATAGGGGCAGAAGGGGTCAGCAGGTGGCGGGGGCAGGGGCCAGGGTGGGGAGGGCCTCCGAGAGCCTGTGCCTCCTTTTCTTAATCCCGCATGGGCCAGGTCAAGCCCTTTTCCCTGGGAACCAGCTGAGTCAGAGCCTGCGGCCTCCTTATCCCTTCATCTCCTGTCGCACCTGCCAGTGGTTTCTTCCCAGGGATCTCTCTCCTCCCCACGGAGGCGAAGTGACTGCAGCAGGGTTCCTGTTCCCTCCAGACAGCAGAGGTTGCCAGAGGGGCCTGGAGCCCAGGCCATGGGAGGGCACACAGCCAGGCTGCCGCTTCCGCTCCACCGTCTTGCTCCCCTCGCCTTCGTCCTCCTCTCGCCCCCTGCTTCTCCTTCTACACTTATCAAAGGTCCACGCTTCACTGAAGACTTGGGTTCACCCCACAACCATTGATCCGTTGACATCTGGGTTCCACTCCTGGCTCTGCTGTTAGCTTTGGGCAAGTTGCTTGATGTCTCAGGGCCTCAGTGCCCTCCCTGTCGATGGGAACACCCCTCACCAGGTTGTTGGAAGAATTAAAACAGATAGTTCGTGTCAGTGTCAGCACAACCCAGTCTGGTCGGCTCCCAGTGCATGTTGGTTACTTGTTCCTACCCTTGTTCGTGTTTGGCTCAGGCCCCGCCCATCACTGACACCCGCCCCCCAACACACACACATACACACGCTCAGTGCTGGGAGGGGGAGGGGATGGCTAGGTGCTGTGACCACGGGGCCCCAGGAGCACAGATCTGGATCACTGGGGAAGACCCCTTCCAGAAAGTGGGGCCTGTGAGGGAAGGAGAGAGAGGGGAGAAAGGGGCTAGGGGGCAGGAGGGTAAGTTTCTGCCAGAGAAGGACGAAGACTTAGCTTGGTTGGTCTGGAATGTGGGGAGAGGTGAGGCAGGGCCAGCAAGCAGGACCTCGTGAGCGAAGCTGAGGGTCTTGGCATTAATCACGCAGGGCCACTGAAGGATGTGTGAGCAGAGGGACACCGTCCGATGTGCCTTTTGGAAATGTCTTTCTGGCGGCAGCGCGAGGACTAGATGATCCGGCAGGAGAAGCAAGCATGGGAAACCAGCTAGGAGGCGGCTGCAGTGATCCAGGCAAGAGGTGATGAAGCCAGTTCAGGAGGGCCTGTGATGGCTGGCGGGGAGTGGGTGGGGGCATCCGAGAGCTGTAAGGAGGAGAGCTGGCAGGTGCCTGAGGGTGAGGCAGAGGAAGGAAGGAGGCAGGCTCATCCTCAGCTCAGGTGCCCAGGGAATGCAGCACGGGGCGCAGGGGTAGCGGAAGAGGTCTGGTCAGTTTGGGGCGCTTGTCTGAGGTGCCACGGGCCAGCTCAGGGTGGACCTGCAGGCCCGGGCTGTGCAGACAGGTCTGGGCAGGAACTGAGAGGTGCTGTCTGCCTTGTGGGTGGTAGTCAGAGGTGTGAGTTTAGGTGAGGTCCCTGAGGGAAAGTGGGCAGAAAATGAGAAGAGGATGGAATGCTGGGAGCACTCACCTTCCAGGGCTGGAGAGGAGGAGCCTGGGAGGAGAAGGGCAGCAGCAGAGAAGGGAGGACAATCACAGCAAGTGGCATCCTGCCTGCCAAAGCAGATGCCGCCGGATGGGGTCGTCAGTAGCGTCAGGCGCTGGGCTGAGACGGAGGAAGATAAGGCCCAAAAGGTGTCCGTTGAATTTAGCAGCAGGGAGGTGCCTGGAGACCCTGGCCAGAGAGGTGTGTAGAGAGTGGAGGGGACAGAGGCTAGGACGCAGTGTACTAAGGGGACAGCAAAAGGCCCAGCTTGTCCCAGGGTCTTGGCTCCGAAGGGAAGGAGTGAACCTGGCAGCGAGGGGGCGGGGGGGCGGGAGTCTCTCTGATCCAAGTTGAGGGAGACATAAGCATGTTTATAGGGAAAGAACTAGAAGGAGAGGTTGAATATACCAGGAGGGGGATCGGTATGAATGAATGACAGGCTCCAGGAGGGGAGGAGACAGCAGGAGAGGCAGCATAGGGCACTGGAAAGTCGGATTAATAATAGCTGTCATTTAAGTGCCTGCTGTGTGCGGGGCACCGTTCTCAGCGCTTTGCATTTGCTACCCCACCTGGTCCACACAACAGCCTATGCAGTAGGTGCTCTTATTATCCTCATTTTACAGATGAACGACCCTGACACAGAAACGGTAAGTAGCTTGCCCAACGTTGCACAGCTAACATGGGGTGCTGCCCATGTGCCAGGACTTGAGTCCAGGCAGGGTGCCCCCAGGGGTGTGTAGTCGTCAAGACCAGACCTAAGAGCAGACCTCCTGGGTTTAAATCCCAGCGCCTCCACTCATTTGCTTTGTCCTCCTGTCCCTTAGTTTCCCTGCCAAAAAAGGGCATGAGAATTGTACCCATTTCTTAGTGCTACTGGATGGATCAAATGTGTAAATGCCCATAAAACACTTGAGCAAGGCTTGGCGAACAGAAAGCACAGGTGGAGGGACTTGCCTGGGACAGATTTGGGTGCTTCTCATGCTGGGAGTGGAGGGAGGAAGCTAGCACAGGCTGATGGAGGGAGGAGCGGAGGGAGGAAGCGAGCACAGGCTGATGGAGGGATCTGCGGAGTCCTTGGCCCTTTTGTACAGTGTTTATCTATTTATGGGCCCTCTCCTGGGTCAGACGGCACCTTGCAGGCAGGTGTAAGAGCAGCTTGTGCTGGAGTTGAAGCAGCCCTTGGGACCAGATCCCAGTCTCTTCACTCCACTGCATCGCCATGGGACCTTCTGCACGTTCCTCTCAGAGCCTTCGTCTCTTCCCAGGCCAAAGGGGCAGTGATGCCCACCTGCTGGGCCATGGAGAGGATGAAATGAGATCATGTGCGTGAGTGGGCATGCCCATAGCAATGCCAGGCACCTGGGTGACACTTGTTATACAGAAGCTACCTCCGCCACTTCTACAGACATTGATGGAGCAGGGGCCAGGTACTGTTCTAGAATGAAATTATTATTATCCCTAGAGCCTCATCAGAGTACCTAGATGGTTACTAACTGTTGGGCAGAGGGCGTCTCCAGCAGGGATTAAGGACGAAGTGAAGGAGGAGGTGCTAGGATGAATTAGTCAGAAAAGGAAAGTGGAGAGTTTGCGCGTAACCTGCACTGTTAGATATCCGCGGGCCCACAAGCTGCACCCCACCTAAGACAGCACGCTATGGACTGAGTTTGGCAGATCCCAAGTTACATGCAGATGTGACTTGGAAGATGAGAGTGTAGTATGCTGAGCACCTGAGGACTGGTGGCAGGGCATCCAGGCTGGTGGGACATTTTGTTATTTATTTATTTATTATTTTTGGCTGCATTGGGTCTTCGTTGCTGCGTGTGGACTTTCTCTAGTTGCAACGAGCAGGGGCTACTCTTCCTTGAGGTGCGTGGGCTTCTCATTGCAGTGACTTCTCTTGTTGTGGAGCACGGGCTCTTGGCTCGTGGGCTTCATTTGTTGTGGCAGGTGGGCTCAGTAGTTGTGGCTCATGGGCTATAGAGCGCAGGCTCAGTAGCTGTGGTGCACGGGCTTAGTTGCTCTGCGGCATGTGGGATTTTCCCGGACCAGGGCTTGAACCCGTGTCCCCTGCATTGGCAGGCGGATTCTTAACCACTGCGCCACCGGGGAAGCCCCTGGTGGGCAATTTACTTCCCAAGGTTTGTCCTCTTGGGGACTGTGAAATCCAATCCACCTGACTTGGAGATGGGATCTCCCGGTAAAGGAAGAAGTTTGTTTGGCGGATCGTGTGGGTTCTGGGCAGGACGGGCTTATGGGTGTGGACCCGTGCAGTAACACTGAGCACCTTGTTCGAAAGGGATAGTTTAATGCTTTGCTTTTGTCATCTTGAAATTCTTCATAATTTTGAACAAGGAGCCCTACATTTTCATTTTGGCTTGAGCCCTGCAAGTTATGTAGCCTGTTCAGGTTCTAGGGCCTGAGGTGTTTGTCTCCTAGCCCATAATGAACGTGGCAGGGCCCACATTGGCACCTGGCCCTGGATGTGATGGGCCCAGAGAGGGATGAGGGAGGCTGCATGGGGCTCTGTCCCTTCGGAGGCCTGGAGCTGGGGTGAGACCTGTGGTATTAAGTGGAGCATGCCCGACAGAGTCAGACCACTGGATTTGTGTCCTCACCCTGCTACTAGCCAGCTGTGTGCTCTCCAGCAGGCTCTGGACATCTCTGAGCCTGTTTCCCCGTCTGCAGACTGCGGATAGGGTGACCACATGACAGGAGGGTTAAATGAGGTAATGGGCAGAGAGTGCCTGGTACGTAGTAGGTGCTTAGCAGATGTTTGCTGGTGGGTGCCTGCTTGGGCCCAGAATGCAGCTGGGCTGGGAATAACATGGTCCTACTCCAGGAGACGATGGGAGAAAAGGCACCATGTCCGTGCACTACCCTGTAGGGGATGTAGAGGGCTGAGTGCCATCCTTGGAACCGTCTTCCAGGAAATGGGCTGCCAGCTCCCCCTCCAAACGGGCCACCATCTTTGGCCACTTCATCTCCAGAGTGAGCAAAGGTAGAACAAATCCAAGCCCTGGCCCAGAGCTGGGAATTCCAGGCTGTCGGGCCTTGTTCTGGGGCCCTGAGCAATCCTACCCCTCGCTCCGCAACTGTCTCACACCCTAGTTTCCCCAGATCCTCTCCAGGGAGAGCAGCTTTCCCTGTGTAATAAGGCAGTGCCCCTTCCCTCCGGAAGGCCTCCCCGTCCAGGGGATATAGCTGTGGGCTGAGGTCACGTGTTCCCTCCTCCTCAACACCCCATTGTCCTGTCCCCACCCCCCTTCTGATCCTTGATTTACCCTGAGCTGGATTAAGACCTTTAGCCTCCCTCGGAGCTGAGAGGTTAAGATGCACCTCCCCCCACCCACTCACATACAAATTCAAAATAAAAACCACCCTCAACCTTAAATCGGTGTGACGAAGTCCAACAAAGTTCTGATTTTTCCCAGGACGACTACTTCCTTGCTATTTTTGAAATACTAAGAATTAGCTCTTAAAAAAAGCAAACCACACCAAAATGCTTTGTTGATGCCCTTTTACTGCCAGTGCCCTAAGCACACGCTTACTCCGCCTGTTCAGTAACCTGGCCTCGCCTGCCCCCTCCCCTGTGCCAGAGCGGGACAGAGGCCTGACCTGCAATACAGGGCATTGGGCCACTCTGCTCAGAGCCTTCCCCAGGGGAGAGGGAAGCCCTGGGCCAATCAGCCCCTCCTGGAGAGGTGGTGTCAGGAAAGCCCAGAAGGTTCCACTCCACCCCTGCCACAGGCTCACCCTGTCCTCCCGACCAGAGCAGCCAGGGCCAGCACGGGCCCTCGTCCAGTCCTCCAGCTGGCCAAGGACGGCTGGGCTGCGTTAGTGCCCAGGCCTGCTGACCTTCACTCCACACCTGCGGCTGGTCTCCCTGCCCCAAGCTCCTCCCCTTCCCGCTGTGGGGGAGGAGCGAGCAAGTGCTGGAACTTCTGCACACTGGCTCTTCCAGATCCTTGCTTATAATCCCTGGACAAAAATAAATCCTGTGTGTCTGAGCAGGAGAGGGTAGCAGGGTGAGATGGTGGGAGACAGAGGAGGCAGGCAGAAGGCCTCAGACAAGCAGGAAGACCAGGCCTCCTTAGCACCCCCAGTGAATGTCCCAAAGAAAGGGGCTGATACCGGGCATCCCAGAAAATTCCAGGTGGGAGAACCTTTTGGAGCACTTCGTTTTGCTGAGAGCTAACAGGCCCAGAAAGCGGGCAGGTCATTTCCCTAATGTCAGCAGCAAACAAGAGGCTGGTGGATCAGAGCCCTGTGGGCTTTGCTCTGGCTCCTCCCTTTTCCCTGAGTGAGGCATGAGGACTGGCCCCCAACCTCCTGGGTGCGCCTCCCCTGAGCACCCCCTGATCAAGCCAGAAGGCACCTCTGCATCCCCTGCCTGCCCGCCACTGTCCACTTTCCTGCTCAGCTCTTTCTCTCCCCACACTACCCAGCACCCATCCAGCTTATCCCCCTTTCACCTCCTCAAGGAAAGGGACATTTATTACTGTGTCTGGTGTGGCACATAGGAAGCTATATATCCCTCTCGATGATAAACCAAAGCCTGAGGTTATATGTTTTCTGGAGGAAATTTCACATTCCAGGAGAGAGAAAGAAAGGATTGGTGGATTCTGAGCACTTTACATGTGCAAGGCATTTTCCTTACTTGACTTGCAAGCCTTAAGGCAGTGCTGCAAAGCATCTTCCATCCGAGAGATGAGCCTTTGAGCCAGAGAGCTTTAAGGCGCTGGCTGAAGGTCGCGGAGCAGCAGTGCTCAGCGGAAACCCGTCTCCCATCCACTCCTTGCATCTCTGGGCCCCGCATCTGCAGCGCTAGGGATGCGGCTGGCCTGCAGCGAGTGCTCTCTGGGCATGATCTCACTTTATCCTCACAGCACCCACGAGAGAGCTACTATTGTCTCCTCTTTTTACAGTGTTGGAAACGGAGGCACGGGGAGGTTAAGGGAATATGACCCCCCCACTAGACAGAAGTGGAGGTGAAACTTGAATGCAGGGACTCTGCTGCAGGCCCGTGCTCTTAATCAGGCACAATCTGAGTCCTCCCCGATACTTCCAGCCCCTTGTCACCTCGGCCTCGGGGATGTGGGTTTCAGGCCAGCCTCCTAGAGTCTCCTTGGGAGGTCAGGGGCTGTGGGTTCTCATTCTGCAGCCACTCTGGTTAAAGGCTCAGGGAAGGAGGAAGGAAAGATACGGGCTAGAGTGGAGTTTGAGATTTGTGTCTTGCCCTTTTTTAGAGTTTTCGCTTTGTCCCTGCGGCTCTAGGGGATTAAGGTTGTATGTTTCTTTCCTCAGCCAGGGCT